CCCCGGGTACTCCCGCCCTCTCTTCCCGTCTGGGTTCATCTCTTCCCCCACCCCGTCCACCTCCACCTCCTCTTCCTCTTGTGGCGTCTATAGCAGGACGCAGCGCTTCTTGGGTTTGTTGTCTGGGGGCTCCAGAGCAGCCAGGATGGCCTCGTCGAACACGTTCTTCAGTCCCCTCTGAGGAAGAGACAGAAAGAGGGAGACACTCGTGAGCAATGTTTCCATCTTACGTAAAGTCAAATAAAAAACCTGGGTAGAACTGCCAGAAATAATAAGAAAACAACTCCATAAATTACTGTAAAAATGTTTTCTTTCTGTCTCAGAAAGAAAAGTTGGACAATCATAAAAGAGAAGCTGATGGAAAAATTCTTTATGAGTACAGTTGACATTGTGGTTGTTTGTTCTTCTACTGCAGACAAAGCATTAGCATCATTCTGAAACTGTCTGTCACATGCCTTCATTAGAAACCAAATTAAGCAGAAAAGGAGCAGAGGTGTGAGGAGCGTATGTAACTGCATCGTCCCTGGTTTCAGTAGAGGGACGGAGGGCGTCTCTTTGTCCTGCTGGCAAACTTCACGCAATCACACTGAACCAGCAGGGCTGAACCAGCATCTTTAAATATTAGTTTTTAATTATCAATTCGTCTGACCATCATTCCCTCTTTTTATGTCCAGGGTGACAAATGTTTTTTCAGTAATTCGATACGATAAAAGACATAAAAGAGCAGCAAACTGTCACATTTGTGAGGCTGAAACAATAAAATATTTGGCATTTTAACTTGGCATTTTAAACAACATAAACAACGAATCATTATCAAAATAGTTGCCAACTAATTGATTAATCGACTAATAATTATCGAATCGTCTGCTTGTTTTCATGGAAGGTTATTTTTTTTCTCCACCAAAGCGTAATAATGTAAAATTTGACCCTTTTAATGACCTGACCTATAAGCTGTAGCTCCAGGCCTGTTGCTCACTATAGAACACCTGTGTACCTGTGTAAGAGCAGAACACTCCACATATTTGACGGCCTTGAGCTCACGAGCCAGTTTCTCTCCGCTCTCACAGCTTAGGGCTCGCTGTTTGTTCTTGGCCAGTTTCTCCAGAGTGTTGCTGTCGTCTCTCAGATCCACTTGAGTCCCGACCAGCAGGAAGGGCGTCCGCGGGCAGTGGTGTGAAATCTCTGGCACCCACTGTGAAGAGGCAAGGTCAAAGAAGGGTGAGGCATGCAATCTGGAAGGCCAGGATCGGAATAAACCCTTCAAATGTGTCAAATCTAGAGTTAAAAACCACCAAGATCTAAACAGTGGATGGTATAAATGTGCATTCAAACTGGATAAAAAGTCAATGTATGACAGCTTCTGGATATAACATAGCTCCGGTCTTATAGATATTTTAATGCAGAAATGTAAAATATTATAGCTTTAACTGAACTGACTTCATATATTTTGAGCCATCATTCTTTTTGCGTCTTGTGAGTCTATTTTTTGCTTGAGCCCTGTCACACCTGCTGTGTGTTGACATGTGGGAGCAGTGTTGGGCTGTTCAGCTGGGGAGAAACAGAAGGAAGAGTTTGCAGAGGCTCAGATATGATCCCTGTGTGTAGAGCAGCTTGACAGACAGTTAGAAACACAGTCTGAGAACCTATTCAGTATTATCTCCGTAATCTGTGAACAGCCTCTGTTTTAGGGGACTTTTATTGATTTTATCTGTGAAGGACCATTGTTACTGGACTTAAAGCTATATCTTTATGCCATAAATGTGAGAAAGCCAAATGACAATGTCGGTTTGATGCTTTTATTTCTTCCCAGCTTTGTCAGAGATGGAATCTGTGCTGCTGTCAGTGGCGAAGGAGAGAAAAGCCCAGAGGAAGCAGACGGTGTTTGTGGACGCTCTGCTTCAGTCCAACCTCACAGAACGACAGGTGAATACTGATTCTAGTTTAAAACACCAAAGACATCTGAAGGATCTTCACAGTTCCCACAAAAGGTCTGACAAAGTACTGAACATTTTTTGTTTGTTTGTTTGTTTCAGATCATGGAGGACTGTATGGTTTTCACTTTGGCCGGATGCGTCATCACTGCCAACTGTAATTGACAACCAACAAAACAACTCCACATCAATGTTTTTGTCTGTTGACTTATTATTTAGGGCTGCTTTTTTTATGCTTTTTTAAATGTCTCGTTTTGTCCAAACAGCACGCAAAACCTAACGATAATCATTTTTACTATGATCAAGATCTTCAGATTGGATGAGATTTTAAGTACTCAACTAAATATCACATTGTTCTAACTTTATGTTACGTTATGTTTAAAAGGAGGGGAAGGTTGTCGTTACAAGTCAGGAGAATGAGAAGAACAAACGAGACGCAGTCAGTCGTATAATTAAGCCACCGTTGTCTACATCATGTTAAAACTAAACCTGCAACATAAATATCAACTAGCAAGTGTCCAAGAAGAAGAACTTGAACCCCAAACCACTCCCTTGATCTTAAATGTAAAATGTTGTGTTTTGGCAGTGTGTATCTGGGCACTTTACTTCCTGTCCACTTCGGAGGAAGTTCAGGACAAACTGTATCAGGAGCTGGATGAGGTTTTGGGTTCGGATCCAATTTCCTTAGACAAGATCCCTCAGCTCAGGTAAGATCTTGGTTTCCTCTCTAATCCATCAAGTGTTAAACTCATTTTATATCTCAGAACAGACACCTATGCAACAAACATGGAAACATAATGTATTGGGGTATAATAATTCAAGGTCAAAATTTCATCGAGGCATGGTTGCTGCGTTCAATAACCTCGATCACATTTCTGTCCTTCGAAAGATACTGCCAGCAGGTCCTCAATGAGACAGTGAGGACTGCCAAGCTGACCCCTGTCGCGGCTCGACTTCAGGAAATGGAGGGCAAAGTCGATCAACACGTCATCCCTAAAGAGGTATCTGGTTTCCTGCTGTCTGCGGCTGTCTGTCTGTTTATTTCTCTTCAGCTCATCATGAAATTATTATAGATCTATGTTATACAGACAGGTTTTCTGTGGAGAAATTGTGTATAGGCCTTACATCATTGGAGTTACAATTGATTTACTGTCTGTGGAAAAACCACACTGCAGTTTAGTGTATATGTGTGTGTCTGGATTTGGTCTGTTATTATTTTTTCTGGTCTCCCTTTGT